CTCCCGGCCGCAGGCGTCAGGATGTCGGAGAACCAGGCGAACGCCAACAACCACCACCCGGGGAACAACACCGGGGGCGGCGGGGCTGCCGGGGGCAACAACCGGGGCGTCCGCAACCCCAACCTCAACCAGAACCCCTTGATCAACGTGCGCGACCGCCTCTTCCACGCGCTCTTCTTCAAGATGGCAGTGACCTACGCTCGCCTCTTCCCACCCTCCTTCCGCCGTGTCTTCGAGTTCTTCATCCTCCTCAAGGTGAGCGGCATGGGGAGGAGTGGACGCTCCCCATGCCGGGCTGCAGGCAGGCGCTGGGACACAGATTTCCTTGGCAACACAACAGGCTTGGCTCTGCTGGAGGTCACAGCCTGTGCTTAGGCCCCTTACCCTGAGCTCCGCTGAGCTCCTCTTCTGTGAGGAAGACGTGGATCGTTGTACACGGATAGCTGTGACGATCCGTGGTGGTCCCTGCACCACCAGAGCTCTGGTACCAGATCACGGGGCCAGCTTGCTGGGCAGCCAGGCTGGTGTGGCTCAGGTCCAGGGATGGGGGCATGAAAGGTTTCTGTTTCCAAGCAATCACTCTTTTTGGATAGGTTACATATATGAGATGTTTGATTGTTGGAGTTTTGTTGGAGTCTTGTCTTTTCTGGAAGCGATTAATGCACGTCCTGATTTTAACCCCATTTGTTTTTAGCCATCAGCACCCTCAGCAGTGCCTGCACAGTCACACCTCTACGTACCCGCCTGCCTTCTTGTTGACGTGTGTGCGGGATTGGAGACCACAGAGGGGCCACGGGGTGTAGGTTAAATCCTGCACTGCAGCTTCCAGGGCGCACACTGACCCTTCTCACCAGCACCAGTGTGGGAAATGAGAGTTGGGGGAAGCGCGGAGAGGAGCTTCCTGGGTGCCAGCAGCACACCTCTGCTTTGAGTTCCTAAAATTCAACCACTTGAAAGCACAAAAACATTTAGGGCAATTTGTCTCATACTGCATCTTCTCCCCTCCCAAGAAACTTTTGGGGTTTGAACATCTCTTTCTCCCTGTTGTAACTGGATCCAGGAGATGGGGAGATGGGAACAGGGATGGTGCTCACGGCGAGGCTGTGGGGCAGAGCGACTGGTCTGGCTGGTAGCGGTTCTTGCTGCCATCTGCCTTTGATCAAATCACTCCCGAGGAGGTAGAAGCGTTCACAGGGTTAGGAGTCAGCCAGGCTCCAGTGTGGCCTTGACTCTGTGTGCAGGGTGCTGGTGGGAGGGGAGGTCGGAGACCGTGGTCCTGCGTGCTGCTGTCCACGGGGTCCTGCAGCTGCTCAAGGCTCTGCGAGGTTCTGCCGGCCTCGTCTTGGCTCCTCCTGCGACGAGGGAGGTGTTTGTGATTTACCTTCCCTGGTGTCTCCCTGTGCAGCTGCTCTGCAGATGGGATGTTTACCGGCTGTTTATCCACAGCAAATAGGTCAGGAACGGCGCGTAGCGAGGACGCTGCTTTGATTGGGAGCGAGCATCTTTGTGCAGCTGGAGAGTGGGTGCATGAATGTCGGCTGTGCTGCTTCTTGCAGCAGCGCTCCTCCAGGCTTTCAGCTCTGAACTTTGGACAGTGTAACATCCTGCTAGATTCGCTATCTTCTCTGTAGGGAACAAGTTTTATTAGTCCAGTTTGCTTTGCTGTGGCTTTATGGCAGTTCCTTGGTGTGAGCCAGGGCAAGGGAGCAGGTGCTTGGTGAGCCCAGCCCAGCCTGCGCCAGCAGAGTCCGTGCCTCGCAGCGGCCAGTGGTAGATCTGAATGCGGAGCTGGCGGTTCTGCCGCAGGTTTGGGTTGTCCTGCTCTTGTGGTGGGTTGTCTTTTGTTGAGGTTTGCTGTATTCCGCCTTCGTAAAGTTGGGCAGCGTTCTCCGGGCTTTGTGCTGGGAAGGGAGTGGTTGAAAGCCACGGGTGTGTTTCTGTTTCTTTCGGTGTGCTTTGGAGCCTCATCACCCATTGGTGCTCTTGTTTGGTTGGTTTACCTGCGGTGCAGTTGTTCTGGCGATGGTGTTGGTTCGTGGTGGCGTTGGTTCGCAGGACCTTATGCAGCGCTGGGGCCTGCATGTGTCACCGGTGCTTTGGCCGGCACGCGTGCGCTGCACAGATGCTGGTGGCAGAAAAAAGATTGTTTGTGCTGCTGCCTCTGCTGTGTTCCCCTCTTGTTACAGTAGTGCTGAAACTGCCCGATTCTGCTGTGCTTTGCTGGTGATGCAGAGCCGCGGGGGTTGGAAAGCGTAAAAGCTCTTGTCCACTCGCAAATCCGTTTGTCCAAGTTAATCTGGTGTCTTTAAGGGCAAAGAAGAGATGGTTAAAACTGGGGAGGCTGTAAACAGGCCAGGGCTGGTTGGGCTGATGGTCTCTGCTCTCTTCCTTGCTGTGCAGGCTCTCTTTGTGCTCTTCATCCTGGCGTACATTCACATCGCCTTCTCCCGGTCACCCGTTAACTGCTTGGAGCACGTGCGAGATAAATGGCCGCGTGATGGCATCTTGCGGGTGGAGATACAGCGCAACTCCAGCCGAGCCCCCATCTTCCTGCAATTCTGTGGGGTCGACAAGTTCCCAGGAATGGTAGTTGAGTCTACAGCTGAGGAAGAGGAGGAGGAAGAGGAGGAACTGACAATGGATATGTTTGAAAACAGCTCTATCAAGGTAAAGACCTCCTTATGTAGGGAGGAGGAGATGGGAACCTGGGTGTTGGTTTGGGGAGAGATGGTTTGTCAGTGCAGTCATCTCAGCGTGCCACCGTCCTTCTGTGATCCCAAAGTCACCTGGGATCCTAGAGCGTTCCTTGGCTTTCCCAAATCTCCACGTTAGCCTCTGATGGTTTAAGACAGAAATTAAAGCCTGGGGAAGTGGCTTCTCTTGTCCTCCTGTTGGCGGCTGAGGGCACAGAGGGAGCGCTTCTGCCGGAGCTGAGGTGACCGCTAACAGGACTTTCCCTGTCGTGGTTTTCCAACAGTTTGAGCTGGATATCGAGCCCAAGGTGTTCCTCAAGCCTTCCCGGGCGAGCAGCACCGAGGCGCTGACCCACAACGAAAGCCAGGAGTTCTCGTTTAGTGAAGCGGCCACTAAAGGTATGCAGCCTCTGAGGGAGACTGTGTCCGAGTTTGAGATGCTAGCCAGAGCAGGTAAAGACCACTTACACTGCTGCCTCTGCTCCCCTTCCCCTGCCTCGTGCCCCTTCCCTGCACGTCTCCTTCCTCCTGGCTCCTCTGGGCATGTGCACAGTGACCGTAACGTCTCCCCTGCTGTGTTCCCCTGTGGTTAGTCGTGTCGATGCTAACAGCAGATCTGCTGGAGGGAGACAGGCATTGGGGGTTGTCTGGGCTGTAGAATTTCCCGAAGCCTCTTGGTCTGACAGCTGCCTCACTTCACCTCTTGCAAGATACGCTGTGGCAGTTTGAAAGATCAGGGGTTAAATTGCTTGTCTCTGACTTAGCAGGAGGTTTGGCCTTTCAGAAATGATGTAGCAAAAAGCATCTATTTTGAATGTTCCTTTAAAAAAAAAACCAAAAAAAAAAACAAATAAGAAAGAATCTTCAGGCACCACAATTTTTTTTTACAGCTGCAATCTCTCCTGCGTAGTTTTGAGATGTGTCGTGGCACCAGTGGCCTCTGTCTGCTGGGAAGTGCAGTGCTCTTGCCCTGTGGAGTGTTCGCTTGGTGTTCCACAGCTGGAGGGTGTATTTTCCTGCTGTTCCCTGAACAACATAGAAAGCAGAAGTTGAACAGAGCAAGAGCTCTAGGCCTAGGGCTCCCCAGGGGACTATGTGAGCAGGTTCTGGACAATGCTCAACAGCTTGGAACTGCTGCCCAGAAGTTTCACATGAAAGACTAATGTCAAGGGAACAAGCTGCGATTTCAAATAATTTGTATTGATTTGTTTTAAATTGGTTGAAGGAAGCCTGGAGCCTGTATTTGCAACTGATTCTTTTCCAGAATGTGGTGGGAGGAAGGGAGGAAATCCAGATGTGCTGTTTCTTTTGGCAGTTGTTTGCAAGCCCTGGTGAGCCTCCCTTCCCGCCCTCTCTTGCAGTGTGGCCGCAGGAGGAGTACATCGTGGAGTACTCGGTGGAGTACGGGTTTCTGCGCCTGTCCCAGAGCACACGCCAGCGCCTCAGCATCCCGGTCATGGTGGTGACGCTGGGTGAGTGAGGGCGTGGGGAAGTGCTCTGCAGAGGCACCCACGCGCTGTTTCCTCTTTAGTCTTGTGGAAACTCTTTATGACAGTTGATGGCGCTCATTTTCCACGTGTGAGAGCTGCTTTGTGGACCTTCATTGCCTGAGTAGGTCATGCTTTCCAGGAGGAGCAATCTGAAATGGTGGAGCCTGTTTCAGTGAGCCCTCGTGTTTTGTCCCGCGTCGTTTTCTCATGGTGTTAAAGATCCCGGTCCAGCATGGAGCAGCCGCAGCGCAGTGTTAGAGCCCAGTGGCGAGAGCGATTGTGCACATGTCAGGGCCGATCCTGAGCAGATTTGCTTGGCGCTGTCTCAGTGTGCTTCTGTGCCCCTTAGCACCAGCAGACCGTTCTCCTGTGGCAGGACTCTCTTCTGCTGGCATTTGCTCCATTAAAACCTGTCCAAGTCAGGTCCCAAACCTTCTTAAGCCTGTGAACTTAATTGATCTGTAACGAGCTGTTAGTGCAGCAATCCAACTAGATTTCATTGCCTGAAGCGCAGCTGGGCTGGCTGGGCTGGAGCGTTAAGCAGTGGTCTCTGTAGGGAACGGTCAGCTTCCATGGTACAAATCTGTTTACTGACCTGAGTGCCGCTAGATAAATTCCTTTGTAAGTATCCTGGTAACTTACTGAAAAATCATTTCAGTTCATGCTTCCTGTTTTCCCTGGATGTGGGTTATTCTGCCAAGCTGGTCGCTGTTTGTACGGCAGAATGCAGTACCGGCTTCATGAGATGGAGCCAAACAGCCTTCATTCGTGCCCGGAGCCGTGGGAGACGTTGGCGTGTCCTCACTGCGGGAGGGCGGCTGGGGATGGTGGCAGTGGCACGCTGAGGCCAGCTGATGGCTAAAGTCTCAGCCTGGCCCTCGAGTCCTACCAGAACTTGTTTCTCTGGGCCATTAGTTGGGGAGAGCCCAGGGAGATGGTCCAAGCCTAGAAGGCAAATTCCTTTCATGTCTGTGCCAGCAGAGAGGGCGACAGCCCTGCTGCAGTTCTTCACATGCTAGTGTCAGTCAGGCTGTGACAGCGTGGCCAGATCGGTTGGGGTGGGACATTTTCCCTCCCAGTCCTGCCCAATTTAGTTCTGTTGCCAAAGGTCTGGGCACAGACGCAGGTCTGCTGGAAATGGGTCCTTGTGAGTGAGGAGAAGACGTGTGCTTGCCTTGCTGCCTCTGTGGCCTGAGGTATGAACAGGCCGAATGGGTTTTTTTCTTCTCTCCAGACCCTACCAGGGATCAGTGCTTTGGGGACAGGTTCAGTCGCCTGTTGCTGGATGAGTTCCTGGGTTATGATGACATCCTGATGTCAAGTGTCAAAGCTTTAGCTGAAAATGAAGAAAACAAAGGTAAGGCTGGGAGGAATCGCTTTCAGCAGCTGTTCAGAGCAGTTGATGTTTTTTTCCGTGGATGGAAGAACATCGTCTTCTGACTATTGATTAACCTCTGTGAGGGGCACAGTTCCTTCTGTTATGTGGGGATGATGTTATCGTCAAGGACAAAATGAAATGAGTGGTTGGGGAGATATCTGCAACGTGATTTCCTGCTGCCTTACTGCACTGCCTAACGACGAGTGCTGCCGTGAGGAGGGATTGCCACAGAGCTGCTTTAAATCCTGTTCCTTGCGAAGGCACTTTGTTCTTAGTTTGTGAGTTAATCACACCAAGCCTGTGTGTTTGTGTTTGTTCTTTTTCTCCAGGCTTCCTTCGGAATGTGGTGTCGGGGGAGCACTATCGCTTTGTCAGCATGTGGATGGCTCGGACTTCGTATCTGGCCGCCTTTGTCATCATGGTCATATTTGTAAGTTGACAGGAGCTGGGCATTGCCTGGACTCTGAGCCTGGTGCTGGTCAGCGTGTGTGTGATGTGTCAGCACAGGCCAGAGCTCTCATCTGCTTTTAAAGCGAAGCTGACGGAGCGCCAGGTCCTACTCTGTTTTTTGTAATGTGGGTTCTTAAACTCCTAACAGTGAAACAGAGGAGCTGAAATAGAATGAAGAAATGGTTTTGTTGGCCAAAGGGAGATTGATGTTAGAGAGCCTCTAAGTGTAGTTAAAGCACTCGCGCTGCCAAGGCACAGCCTGCAGAAGTTTGTCCTCTGAGACTTTTAAGAACAGGTCTAACTAATTTGTCAGGAGTGATCAAGATAGATAGTCTCCTGTGATGACATGTGGGACGAGGTGATTGCAGATAAGCATCAGACGAGATCCTGAGTGGTAACGAAGCCTGTGATCATGGTCAGGGGTGACTGTCTCCCTTTTTGTTTGACCATCCACTGATGCAACTCCCTGTACAACAACATTGTGACCGGGGAGAGAGGAGGAAGTGAGCGTGGGGTGACTGAGAGGCATCGTGAGCTCTGGGAGGAGCACAGAGGTGGGACAGGAGGAAACCTCCTTCCAGCTCTGCTGCTGCTGTTTGGTTTGGCCCCTGCTCAAGCATTTGGGATCGGTCTCTTCACAAACAAACCACTTACTGTCTATTCACTGCAGCAGCACAAAGCCTAATTGCTGTTTGTGAAGTCCTAATTATTCTTTGGGAAATCGGTCTGCATAGCTCAAAACTAATGAGCAGGGATGTGCAGAGCACGCTGAGCAGTGCAGCAGGTCCAGGCTTGCCTGCCCAGGCCTCTGCTGTTGGGTGATCCTGGAAGTGACTCCCTTGCTCTAACGCTGGTTTCTGTTCTCGCATTTCAGACGCTGTCCGTTTCGATGCTGTTGCGCTACTCACACCATCAGATCTTTGTCTTCATTGGTAAGGATTTTCTAAGGGCTTTAGGGTGTGCTGGACACTGTGCCTGCTCCAGCGCAGTGTATTTTGTGTGTACACCCTTGACTGTTGTTCAGAAGGGTCCTGTGTGTAGCAGCAGGGAATATATCCCCCTGTACCCCGTCACCATGCCTGAGTGCTGGTTTGGCTCTTGGCAAGTGTCGGGGACGCTGGACATGGGACAGCGGACTTCCCTGTGTGCTGCAGCGCTCTGCACAGGGAGTGACTTGGGGGTGGAGGGTTCTTTGGCCCCCACTTCCCTGTGTGTTACAGCGCATTTTCCTTCTTGCAGTTGACCTGTTGCAGATGCTGGAAATGAACATGACGATTGCGTTCCCCGCAGCTCCGCTCCTCACAGTCATTCTGGCTCTAGTGGGTAAGGACATCAGCTCACTTGTGTGTGTGTGTGCAGCGAGTCCCTTCGGGCTCTGTGGAGGGTGTAATTCCCTGCTCTGGCCTGGCCACGACAGGTGATGAGTGTGTCTGCCCATCGCAAGGTGGAAGGCTCTGGAATTTGATGGCACAGTGAGCGGCATTGTCCTTCTGGGTCCCCTGGAAAAGCAGTTCATTTGGAAAGGACATCAGCTGAAGCTTTGTTTGTCACTTTAGTTCGTTCAGGTTCACACTTCTGTGCGTTCACTGTGACCATGTTGCCTTACCACAATTTGAATTTAAATACAAACGTGTCGGAGGATCTCTCCACGGGCCCCTTTGGGAAGCCCCTTGCCCAGCTGGGCTCTGTGCTGATGTCAGACCCCCTCTGTCCCGCAGGCATGGAGGCCATTATGTCAGAGTTCTTCAATGACACCACGACAGCGTTCTACATCATCCTCATCGTCTGGCTGGCTGACCAGTACGACGCAATCTGCTGCCACACCAACACGAGCAAGAGGCACTGGCTCAGGTAGGAGCCGGCTGGGACCTTGTTCTCATGTTGCAGGTTCTTGCTGCGTGTCCTGTTCTCTGGGGGAGGCAGCTTCGGATCCTTTCCAGCCCTCCCCGGCAGGAGGGCTGCCACTCTGAGAGCTGCTGTGTGTCCCCTTGGGAGCTGCCCTGCATGTCACTTCCACTTTGGGTCTCAAAAGTCCCCTCAGTCCTTTGCCTGCCCTTTGTTTTGCCCTGTTGAAGAACTGTTTGCGGTGAGCCAGTTCTAATTACCTGTTAATGGGAGTCTGCACCACCCTGTGCAAAGCACCCCAGCTCAGAATGAAGTTAGGAGTGGAAAGAAGCTCAGGTTTGTCCTGTCCGTTGGTGTGTCCTGCTATTTATTGCCTTTCTGTCCAGATTCTTCTACCTGTACCACTTTGCCTTCTATGCTTACCACTACCGGTTCAACGGGCAGTACAGCAGCCTGGCTCTTGTCACCTCCTGGCTCTTCATCCAGGTGAGTAGCTGCTGCTTCTGCACGTCAGTGACACCAGCCATGGGAACACAGGTGCCATCGTGTGAATTCAGTCCTAGTCACTCCACCTGCCTCCGAGGGGTCTGGCTGCCTGCGGTTTAAGCTGTCACATCGCTGGGTTGAGCAGCACAGCCAGTGGGAGCAGAGCGAGGGAAATCAACGGCATTTTGGGCTTTGTCAAGCAGAGTTTGAGGAGCAGCCTTTGCTTATGTAGGAGGCTGAAATGATCCCAGGTTTGTAAGTGGAACAGCAGGAGGAGGCTCTCACACAGCAGGACTTTTTGGTCACTGGCCCAAATCCAGCCACGTGGCTGACAGCAGGCTGAGGTCAAGTGAGTTTTGGAAGGTGTTAGGGAAGGATTTCTCTCTCCGTCTTTCCGGAAGAAATCCCGCTGAGGAGAGGGTCAGGTCTGTGCAGTGAAGATGCTGGCAGGACCAGTGCCAGATTGGTGTCTCCAGTGGCCTGGTTCAAGGAAGCCTCTTGTGTGTCTCTGGCTGCTGACCTGCCCCTTTCTCTGCTGCAGGATGCAGACGGGGCACCGAGGGTGGGCCAGAGAAATGCTTTACCTGGCTTGTTCTCAGCCCTTAACAGGGAAGAGGGGCTGTGCTCCTTGGCCTGTCTTCAGAGAGAAACTGTTAAAGCTCTGACAGCAGCTTGCAGGGTGGTAGTAGAAGGATAAATCTTTCCAAAATTTCAGATAACTCTTGGCTATCAGAGCAGCTGAATTCTCCAGTCACTGTCTTTATGGCAAGAGGAAAGTAGTTTTCTAAGGTACGTCCAGGCTCACAGCCCAGGCCCAGTGAGTGACTCCTTTCCCTCTGCCTTCTCTAGCACTCGATGATTTACTTCTTCCATCACTACGAGCTGCCGGCCATTCTCCAGCAGATCCGGATCCAGGAGATGCTGCTGCAGAACCAGCAGGTGGGCCAGGGCACCCAGACCACGCTCCAGGACAACCTCAACAACAACACTACAGCTGCGCCCGTGGACGCGGGGA